GAAGGTTTTATTCTGTAAGGCAGGTAGACATAGCATCGCTGATTCCAAGGATGTTTATTAGGAACTTGACTCAGCCTATAAAATCCAATTAATGGTTTTATAATATAAATTTCAGTTTGCTGTGACTCCTAGGCAGTCTGAACTGGTTGAACTGCTTAGGTATGTAATTGCCATCCCTATCTTTTTTTTGTTTAAACGATCTATTTATTTATGCATACAGAACTGGGTACAAGCCAGCGGTGCAGGCGTGGTGAAAGGATTCACCATAGACAGAGTGAGGAGCAGAACAGGCAGGCTGACTGAAGTACACTGCTGAGGGGAGCAGCGGGCGGGTCAGGAGAGGTCTGCCGTGCCATGTGGGTGACCTCCAGGGCCAGGGATCAAACTTGCACTGAAGCGGCTGTGGCTGGCTTGCAGTGCTTCAACCTAACCCAATGCACCACCAGGGGGGGCCGCCATCCCTAACTTAACACTTTCCTAAATAAATGTTTCTATTTGTATAAAATACATAACACTAGAATATTTTTATAAGATTTATTTATGCATAAAGAGCTGGGCTATAGGCCAGAGGTGCAGGGGTGAGAGGATTCACCAGAGACAGCGTGGAGAGAACAGGCAGATTGACTGAAACCCACTGCTGAGGGGAGCATCGTGGAGACAGGAGAGGTCTGTCCCCCTGTGGTATAGCTTCACAGTATTATACTTGAGCTCTTTGCGCACCAGGGAGGCTCACACTAGACAAACTTTAAAAGAAGTAAAGGACTTCTAATGTGATTGCTCTATTTACCACATATATTATTCTGTATATTATTTATTTTCCATATTTTTCTAGTCTCTGCCCAGACATGTCTTCTTCTATTGCCCCAAGAACATGTCACTTTGGTTTTGTTTTCTGCTTGCTAGATCGTTTTCACAGAGCTTGTGATCTCAATTGTACTCACAACCGGCTGTCAGTTAAGGTAGCATCTCCACCTGCTAGTGCTGCCATAAGGAAGAGCCACAGCCAGTGACTAAATGCACAGAAGTTCATTCCCTCGCAGTTCTGGAAGGTGGAAGTCCCAGGTGAAGGTGGCAGCTGGGTGGTTTCCTCTGAGGTCATGAAGGTGGTGAACGCTTCTCCCTGCGCCCTCCCAGGATTACCCCATAGCCTGGGTGCCCTGTCTCCTTATCTCCAAAGGACACCAGTCCTAATGGATTGCAGCCCACACACAACCTCACTTTACCGTAACTACCCTGTTAAAAAAAGGCCCTATTTCCAATACAGTCAGATGCTAAGGATTGGGGTTTAGGATTTCAACCTATGAAATTTGGCAGGACACATTGGTCCTTACAGATTAGGCAAGTGCTTTTACCTGGCTCCCTAGAACCTCCAAATCCATAATTAAATCTTATGTGGTGGCTCATGGTCCACCCCCCTCAGATTTCTTCCTCTCATCAGTTCACTTAGTGGATGTATCACTTAGTATCTAAGTGATACATCCACTAAGTGAACTGATGAGAGGAAGAAATCTGAGAGGCCACCCTAGGCACAGAGAAAAGGCCATGTAAGGACATGAAGAAATGACATATGCCGGCCAGGAGACCTAACCAGACATCATGACCTTAGACTTCCTGCCTCTAGCAGGGTAAGAAAATTAATTTCTGGTTAAAACCACTCAGTTTATGGCATTTTCCGATGAAGTTCAAATATACTAACAGAGGGCCTCCCTGGTAGTGCCGGGGTGAAGTCTCAGCACTGTCACCACTGCTGCCTGAGTTCAATCCCTGGCCATGGAGGTGACCCACATGGCACAGCAGCCCTCTCCTGTCTCGCCCGTTGCCCTCAGCAGTGTACGTCAATCTGCCTGTCCCACTCTGTCTCTGGTGAACCCCCCCCCACACACACACCTCTGGCTTGTACCCCAGTTCTTGAATGCATAATCTTTTTTAAAAAAATGGAGCTACCACAATGCCAGTAACAACCAGAGTCCAGAAGCTGTTCAAGGTCAGGTCCCAGGCCACATCCTGGACGGAAGTCTAACCAATTACTGCTTGACAAACGTTTCACCAATCAGAACTGTATGGAGTATTTCTTGTGTATACAAAATAATTTGTAAGTGCTCCCTCCCGGGCTTTCAGCTCCAGGCTCCCTGCGAGTCCCCGATCATCACTCCAGTGCTGACTGTGCCCTGGTGTCGACACCTGAGCTGTAACGTGCATGCTTGAGTTCACTTCCTGTAGGCATCAGGGTCCACACTTTTATGGCAAGAAACTTTGTGACACGGGAGAAAAAGTGAGGCTTCTAACCTGTGACATCAGGATGCCCAGACTGCCTTTCAAAATTACCTTTCCATCCTCCAGTCTCAACTACCAGATCAAAAGTTCTGAAACTTCAGTTTGCCCAGGCTCATCCGAGATCTGGGAAGGACCAAGGGCCCGCACACCAAGTGTGCTGTGCTGAGGGACATGGTGCGGAGGCCGGTCCACGCCCAGGGTGGCCCCAACACAGGCTGACAGAGTCCTTCCCTGCAGCGGCACTGACTCGCCTGCAGGACTGAACAGCCGTGTGGAGACTGTTCTCGAGTGCAGGTCGGTCCGGAGCACCCCTAGGCCCAGCTGACACTGACATAGCAACCACAGGCTGCTCTCCAGGACCCCCCAGGGAGAAAGCCTGGAAGATTTTCTAACCAAAGCTTCGCATCTGACGGGCGAAGGTGCTACCAACCAATGGCCTCCCACCCAAGAGGACATCAGAGACAGCTATTAGGCACTTGAAAAGCCAGTTTTATTTGCAAATTAACCAGTAAGGAGGCAGGAGACAAATTCAAGTCCACCACCACGATTAAGGGAATCAGGGGAACGCCCTGTTGGTGCCAGGGTTAAAGTCTCAGTGCTATGTAACCATCAGACACTGTGCAAGGGTTCGATCCCCGTCCAGGGAGCTGACCCACGTGGCACAGCATACCTCTCCTGTCTCCCCAACACTCCCCTCAGCAGTGGATTTCTGATCTGCCTCTGCTCCCCACTGTCTCTGGGGCAACTTCTCACCCCCAACTCTGTATCCCAGTTCTTGTATGCATAAATAAATAAATATTTTAAAAACTAGGTAACTGGGCAGAGGCACAAGGACTAAGGGCTGAGGACAAGCACTGAATTGACTGACTGACTATGGGTACGGGCTCAGGGGAGCTTGTACATCAAGTGTGAAGAGGCTCGTCTCTGGCGCGCTGGAGCCTCAAATTCCTGTGATGTCATCCTCTGGGGGCCATTACTTGCTCCAAGTTCTGTTTCCAGTTGGCCCAAGAGCTCAGCTCAAGGTTGGCGTTAATTTAATGCCTTCAGCCTCTGCTGAAGAAAATCTCAGGAAGTAAGTTTAAATAAAGTGTTTTTCATTCTTGTATTTTAGGATCTGAGATCAGTGTAACCATTTAGGCCTGACCTCGGAGTTCGGTTAGAACAGCCTGTACGATCACCTTCTAGTTAAGGACCAGGCCCTAGAGCCACACGTGGGCAAACACCGTGGACGGACAGACTCTGTTCCTGCGGTCCCTGCAGTAAGGTGGCGTTTCTTAGAGAACAGCCCCACAGTACTGAGAATACACTGAGATCAAAACACTGCTTGCTCCAATGGTGGCCTTTGAGGCGATTTCACTTGGCCGGCAATGACACTGGGTGGGCCATCTTTTTAACAAAAGAGGAAACAGATTTATACTTTTGCAGGATGGAGGAAGTCCTGGGAGACCCTATAAACTCCACAATTGAGAGTGGTAATTCGCTTAGACAAAACCGAAAATGGTATTTGTTTCCAATAAAGTGGGCTGGGATAGAAAGTGGATTGAGGTGCTCTGCGGGAGCACTTCATCTGGGGTGTTTCCTAGGATGTCACAATTTAACAGCGGCGCCACACTCGGGTGACTGAGAAAACTGATGAAGTGGCGGAGGAGCACCAGAAGCTCCTCCTTGCCCGTCAGGGCTGTGGCGGGAGAGGCCTCCTTGCCTATGTTTTGCGTCTCCGTCCGGGAGCCCCGCGGCCAGCGGCCAGCCGGCCAGCCATCATCCGGCCAGCGCACCCGAGGGCGGCAGCGTGCGAATCCTTCCCCTCCTCGGCCAGAGCCCGCAGCACAGCAGCCCCTGGCTCCCCTAGACGCTGTCCCCGCCGCCCACCGCCGGAGGGCCCGGGCCCGGCGCGTGCACCGCTGCGACGTGAATGGTGAGCGCGCCCAGGTACGTAAAGCTGCGTCCGCACTCCTCACAGGAGAAAGGCCGCTCCACGCTGGGGCGGTAGAGGTGGGTCTTCAAGCTTCTCTTCTGGGGCAAGACTTTGCTGTACTTAGCGCTGCTAAGGGGCTTCTCTCCACTGTGCGTGTCCAAGTGGGCCTTCAGGCTTGCCCTTGAGCAAAAGCCCGTGTTGCACTCGGGACACGGGAAGGGCTTGGCCCCGGTGTGAGAACAAACGTGCTTCACAAGCCGGTGCTGCTGGTTGAAGCCTTTGCCACACTTGACGCAAGAGAAGGGCTTTTCGTGCTGGTGCAGGTGGATACTCAGGTTTTTCCTGAAACGGAAACTTTTGGCACACTTGGGGCACTGGAAGGGCTTCTCCGCGCTGTGGACCCGAGCGTGCACGGCGACCTGGGACCGCTGAGTGTAGGTCTTGCCACACTGGCCGCAGGCGAAGGGCCGCTCGCCCCGGTGCATGCGCAGGTGCAGCTTTAGGCAGGACGCCCACAGGAAGCGCCGGCCACACTCGGGGCACTGGAAGGGCTGCTCCCCGCTGTGGACCTTCAGGTGCACAGTGACATGCGTGCGCCGGCTGAAGCTGCGGCCACACACGGGGCAGGAGAAGGGCTTCTCCTTGGTGTGGACCCTGCGGTGCTGCACCAGGGATGACCTCTTCGTGAAGGTCTTTTTGCACTGCTCGCAGGACAGCTCCTTCTGGCGGCCCCGGCACGGCAGCTTAGAGGGCGGGGGCGGGGCCTTGCCATTCTCCCCGGAGGCCAAGGGCTTCTGGTGACGCGTCGTCCTCTGGTGGAGCTTCAGGAAGGCCATCCTGGTGAAGCGCCGCCCGCACTCCCCGCACTGGAAAGGCCTCTCCCCGGTGTGCACCCTGCGGTGCTCGGTGAGCCTGTGCTCGTGGAGGAAGGCCTTGCCACACTCCTGGCAGGAGAACGGGGTCTCTCTGTTGTGCAAACGCACATGCCTCCTCCACGTGCCTTTATAGCGGAACGTCCTGGCGCACTCAGGGCACCGGAAGGGCCGCTGTCCCGTGTGGACCACCTGGTGCTCGATCATGGTGGACCTCCGGGAGAAGCTCTTCTCGCACATGCCACAGCGGTACCGCTGCCTCTGGCACAGGAAGGCCTGCTTCCCCGCCGGGTCACCGAGCGGCCGCGCTGGCAAGGTCTTTCCGCGCTCCTCTGATAAGGCCGCACACGAGTCCTGCTCTTGGAGACCACTGAGCTGGCGTTGCCCTTCCTTGGTCCTGAGAGTTCCGAGGCCACCTGCAGAGAAAAGCAAGAACACCTCTGCAGTGAAGCACCACTGCTGGGGGCAGTCACTGACACACCCACAGCAGGAGGGACGCCGCCGTCACCATGACTGCGAGCTGCCTCCCGCAGGTAACAAAGCTCAGCTTCGATATGCAAAGTCTACATCACATTCAGAAATGGCTCAGCAAGAGGAAAAATGGCAGGAAATGCATCTCCTGAAACTGGTGCTCCTCAGAGGGCAGGCAGAAGTTGACAGGAAGTAAGAATAAGCTACTGTCATCATAATATTCCCTTGGGAATATTCTTCTATTCCCAATCTGGGAGTAAAGAGCACAAGTTTTAGGAAAGAAGGCTGTGGGTTATATTCTTGTTTCCCCCTACCACAACCTCAGGAAAAGCTTTCAGGAGACAAAGACAAGAAAACGAAATGCATCATAACCCTTAACCCGTCACGCTCACCAAAACAAGGTGACTTTCGAGCGTTCCTCAAGTTCAAGCGCTCATCCACAGAGGGGCTATGTGTCCTTCCTGATTCCTCTGAGTGTTCCTGGTACCTGAACAGAATTTTCCCGTCTTCCATGCAAGTGATCAAGTCTGGCTTGGAAAACAGGCAGCCTGTAAGGTGAGCCCATACGGAGTCAGTCTGGGTTTTCAAGTACTTGGGAGAAACACAAATATCCAATAGTGTCACTTATACGTGGGATACAGAGCAACAAAGGGACAGATAAAGACCCATTTTAAAAAAGGTGCGCCAGCAGGGGGGAGGTGGGGGTTTAAATAGCCCTTGGAAGCTAACTACAGAACGGAGGTACCCAAACTGGGGGTATGAGAACAAAGGCCAGGCCAGGAGCACCACGGACTAAGGTGGCGGCCCGAGGGCGCTATGGTCACTACACCGGAAACAGGGCTATACTCTGAAATTCTACAAGAATGAAACCAGCATTACCTCAACAATGAAAGAAAATCCTCACAGTTCACTTTGACTTAGGAGACAGGATTATCAGGCTAAAAAAAAGGGGGGAGGACCCTAAGAAATGGCAGGAATGACAATCAAATACAGTCTAACCAAGAGGGTCCACCAAAATGTCCTCTGTAATATTTCACCACATAAGAGGAAAAAGGGAAGCTAAGGATGAAGGATACAGAGAAGGGGGAAAAGGTGAAGGCTTTGAAAAAGCAGAGTGATCCAGGGAGAACATACACTAAAGTAACTGCTAGGAGAACAATGTGGCTTTATTTATTTATTTATTTATTTATGCACATAAGAACTTTACAGGCCAGTAAAGGTGTTGGGATGAGAGGGCTCCCCAGAGACAGAGCGGGAAGCAGAACAGGCAGATCGACTGAAATGCACTGCTGAGGGGAGCAGGGGGAGACAGTGCTGTGCCCCCTGGACCAGCTCGCCAACTGGGGACTGAACTCATGCTGCTGTGGCTACAGATAGCTTCCAGAGCTGAGACTAACCCCTGGCTACACCAAGAAGGCCCGCTCTGAGGACAATGCTAATACAATATAAACAAAAAAAAATAATAATAGAATAAGTTACACAAGAATAAGAATCTCAGAAAGAGAATCCTTCAGGCTATACTGAGACCACCTATAAAATTCATCACAGAAAAACAGTATTAATGATACAAGAATAAGTCAGAAAAAGTTGGAAAACAGCAAGGTCTGATCTCCACACACTTCTCTTTACATGTTCTGCCCAGAGACGCCTGAGCATCCCATCCACAGCTCTCTGCTCTCCTCCTGGAGCGGGGTCTTCCCTGCTGTACCTGCACTCTGCTGTATCCTGAGCCTAGTCTAAGTTACCAATTATGTCCCTTTCTTGAGAACCAGAGTTCAAAAAAAGAGAAACTGGATTATACAGATTTTTAACTGTGGGAGATAAATAATTCAGAGAACAATTATGATTGAGGGAAACAGATGCAGGTATACGAGGGCTTCCAGGCCATCACCAAAAGCTAAGAGGACAGCATGAACGCAGCCTGGACACTAGAGAGGCTCTGCTGGGGGCCTAGCAGTCACACCTCAGTGTGATCACCACTACAGCCTGAGTTCGACCCCGGCCAGGGAGTGACCCACACATGGTGCAACAGACCTCTCCTGTCTCACCGCTGCCTTCTTTAACAGTGTATTTCAGTAAATCTGCTTTTCTGCTCCCCACTCTGAGCCCTCTTACCCCCCATACCTCTGGCCTATACCCCAGTACTTTTACATCAAACAAACAAACAAACAAACAAACAAAAAACTGAGCACCACACCCTATTCACCAGCCAATAGCTCAGATGAGGAAGCCTACAAGCACTGGTTGGTTCTGAAAAGCGGCTCCTGAGAAGCCTACCTCACCTATGGGCCTCCTTGGTGAGGCGGGATTAAGTCTCAGCCTTGGCAAGCTATCGCCACCACTAAGGCACACGTTTGATCCACATAGGCACCCTGTCTCCCCGCTGCTCCCTGCAGCAGTGGATCTCCTTGGATCTCCCTTTCTGCTCCCCACCCTGTCTCTGGTAAATCCTCTCAAACCCACCACTCTTCCCCTCCCCTGCACACACCTCTGGCCTACACCCCAGGTCTTGTATGCATAAATAAAAATAAATCTTTAAAAATAGCCCATCTCACCTAGAGAGACAAGAGTCTCATAGTTGGCCATCATCACTTGCTGGTACATTTCCTTCTGCCACTTCTCCAGGATTTCCCACTCTTGCTCCGAAAAATACAAGGCCACGTCATCAAACGTCATGGTTACCTGGAATCAAACAGTATAGTACACGTGTTTTCACTTTCAGGCTGCTCTGTCAATGACCACATTTAAAAAAATATTTTTATTTATTTATGCATACAGAACTGGCTTCAGGCCAGAGGTGCAGGGGTAGTGAGAGGATTCACCAGAGACAGAGTGGGGAGCAGGACAGGTCGACTGATGAAGGACACTGCTGAGGGAGCAGAGGGCAGGTCAGGAAAGGTCTGCCGCACCATGTGGGTCACCTCCCTGGCCAGGGATCAAACTTGCACTAAGATAGCTGCAGCTAGCTTTGCAGTGACCTGTTGAATCACCAGGAATGTCCCAACGTCTATATCTTTTTTGATGGAGAAAGAAACTATGTTTACTCCTAAGCTCTGGTGTCATGAACCCAAGAGAAGGATAGCACCTCTGACAAGCAAGCAGGGTGAACCAGTGAGGAGCAGATCTTTGAAAACATGCAGCATCCAGAACAGGAATTCTTGGAATAAACCATTACTGCTAATATAGAGTGGGCCAAAGTTGTTGGGTATACCAGTTTATTAAAAATCCATTGGGGCCCTCCCTAGTGGTGCAGTGGGTTACAGTGCAGCACTAAGAAGCTAAAGCCACTTCAGCATGAGTTTGATCCCCACCCCAGAGGTGACCCCCCCATGGCGCGGCAGGTCTCTCCTAACCAGCCCACTGCTCCCCTCAGCAGTGGACTTCTTCAGTCAGGCTGTTCTGCTCTCCACCTGGGTGTTCTCTCACTGCCCCTGAATCTCTGGCCTGTACTCCAGTTCTGTATGCATAAATCTTTAAAAAACAAAAAACAAACAAAAAAACCTTTAATGTTGAACTATTCAGCTTCACAGGAAATTGCAGAGATAGTAAGACGGGTTGCTGGCACCTCTTGATCTAATTCCTGAAAGTCACATGCTTCATCAATAACTATCAGATCAGGCCCTGCCTGATGGTGCAACGGGTTAAAGCACAAGAGCAATGTGCTAGCTCGGCTGCAGCCGCTTCAGCACAAGATCGATCCCCGGCCAGGGAGCGACCCACAGGGCGCAGCAGACCTCTCCTGTCTCCCCGCTGCTCCCCTCGGCAGTGTGTTTCAATGTATCTGCCTGTTCTGCTCCTCACTCTGTCTCTGGTGAATCCTCTCACCCTCTGTACCTCGGGCCTGTACCTCAGTCTTTATGTGCATAAATTAAGTCTTTATTTAAGAAAAAGAACGTTGTAATTCATAAACCCTTTGAGATTGACCCTTTTTCCTCTACATAATGTGTTCAAGATCCAGCCACATCGTTTTATATCTCTTTTCATTTCTGTTACTGCTGTGTAGTACCCGATGGTACGGATGGACAGTTTGGTTAATCATTCATCTACTGAGTGATTAACATTTTGGTAGTTTCCCATTTTGAGGTTATTATCAAAAAGCTGCTCTGAACAGTCACACACAGATTTGGATGGGCTTAAATAGGCAGGATTCTGAAGTGTCTAGATCGACAAGAGTGGTTTTCCTACAACTATGGGCGAGAGCTGTTTGTCATGATGTCCCCAGGATTTGGAGCGGAAATGTTGCAGAGATAAAATTCCATCATTGAGTCTATCATGGGCCCAAAAGTGAAAAGTCGGTTATTGTTAACAAACAAGCTGAAAAGGGTGTTTTTATAAGTTGAGGTGCTCAAAGATATTCCTTCTAACTTTCCTTTTTAAAGATTTATGTATTTATGTGTACAAGAGCTGGGGTGCAGGCCAGAGGTGCAGAGAGGCTGAGGGGATTCACCTGGGACAGAAGGGGACCAAATAGGAAGATCTACTGAAACCCACTGCTGAGGGGAACAGTAGAGAGACAGGAGATCTGCTGCGGCGCTGTGGTCAGCTACCTGACTGGGGACCGAATTTGTGCTGCCGTGGCTGTGAAGAGGTGGCTGTGGAGAGCTTCACAGCGCTGGGCTTTGGCCCTTGCGCCCCCAGGGAGGTCACCGGTCTTCCTTTCTCGCACCTCCTGCTTTCCAGCTACTAGACATGTAAGCATGTTCATAATTAGCTGGAGCTGCTCCTGCGAAAAGCAAAATGAAGCTGAAAGTACCAATTTCTCCTCCCTTTCCCAAACAACGCTACAGTCTCAATAAACTGGCATCACTGACGTTCTTTCAGGGACTCAAACGGATAAAACTGCCACAACCACGAGCTTTCCCAGACCGGGAATGAATACTCCACAGGGTTCCTGACCTCTCCAGGGGAGGGGGGTGAACACGCATTACTTTAGTCAGACCAACAGCGTTAAACCCCAGTGGGGGTACACGGCGAATCGGCGCAGTTGAGCCGGCTACACTTCACCCAAGGCGCCGTTTCCTGGATTAAGTTTTTCGCGTCCGACACCCCGAGCCCAAGTTCCCTACTGGCGGCTGGGGCGTTTGTGGGAAATCTGACCCAGGTCCCAAGCGTCCCCACGCTGCGCCCCTCTCATCTCTTAGAAACGGGGGCGCGTCCGCGGCGCCCCCGCAGAGGTCCTCTCATCTCTTAGAAACGGGGGCGCGTCCGCGGCGCCCCCGCAGCAGAGCTCACCACCTCAGACCACAGCCCGGAGGAACCACCGGCCCCAGGCGCCCGACCCCGGCGGGCCGGCTCCCCCAGGGCGCTGCGTCCCCGGTAAGACTCCACCGAGCCCCCGCGCGCGGGCCGGGCTCATCTCTTAGAAACGGGGGCGCGTCCGCGGCGCCCCCGCAGCAGAGCTCACCACCTCAGACCACAGCCCGGAGGAACCCACGGCCCCAGGCGCCCGACCCACCGTCCGCCCGCAAGGAGAGAAGAGGCGACGCGGCGAGCAGGCCGCCGGCCTGTGCCACACGGTCTTGGGAGGACAGACGGTCCTGCGGTCTGCTCGTCAGTGGACCTGGGGGAACGAGACGCCTTCCCGGCGGCCGCCTGTCAGGGCCTGAAGAAACCGGCCTGCTCACAGGACACTGGCGCCCCACGCCACGATCCGGGGACAGCGGGCAGGAGGCGTCCGATGGGAGCGCCGAGGCTGCTCATGATGCTGCTCGCCTCACCAGGACCGAAGAATGATGCGCTGAGGAGACACCTCCCACCCAGCCGGCTCCTGAAGGGCCGGCACTGAACGTGGCCAAGGGACTAGGCTGCTCCGAGCTGCTGCAGCACCGTTGCCGGGAGCAGGGCTGCAGCGAACGGCCGTGCGCTTCCTCAGGCGCGCTCTCCGGGAGGGGGCCGGCGCGCAGAGGCGACCCAGCACCTCACCGCCATGTGTGCGGCTGGGGCTGTCGGGACAAGGCGCCATATTAGGAGAGAGAAATCGAGGGTTTGTTGTGGGCGAGTTCTCTTAACTCGGAAGGCCACGACTGAGGTCTGCCAGCCTCGATTCTCCGGTCTGTAAATGGAGACGTGTTTTTTTTTTGTAAGTTGGTTGTGAAATATAGTTAGTTTGTGTGTCTGAGAAGCCCCTCCGGCCTGCCAGGCAGCGCTCCGGCGGCTCCCCTGCGCTCCCGAGCGCTCAGGCGCCTCCATGCCAACGTGCAGGCAGTGCTGGCCTGCAGCCGGCAGCACACACTGGCTCGTGGAGGGAAAGGCGAGAGGATGGAGAGGAAGGAATTTCTTAGGTCACCCGAAACGTCATTCCAAAAGAATCCCACCGCGTGCCAGAGGCGGCCTGCGCA